TCGAATTTGTATCTAATCAAAATTTTAGATGCTCGAGTAAAATCATTCTTCCCGTATATTTTGACAAGACAATTCGTGGCTAAACTCTGTTAGACAGTCTCTACGTTCCACGGCTGCTGCTTCAAGATTTACAAATGTTATCACGTGCGCGCGAAGTGACACAATTGATGACGTTAAAATAACGCTTGTCGAGTTCGGAATATCGAGACATGGAGCAATGGGTAGTACTATAAATGCGATTAAAGCGCCTTAATGTAGAGAACAACCTAATTGACTAGCGAGAATGATGTCATACAGTTAACACTAATTGTTCGTCAATTCGCGAAAAATAACACATTTACGTAGTCATAATTCATATTTGTATTTCAATGCAGCCTGAATATTTGCGATGTCACGTAGGTGTATGCTCTGTCAAAAGTGGAGCAGCAGCGCTTTAAGGTCAAAGTTTAACTGTCGCGTATTTTTTTTTTTTTCCGCTGTGTGAAACTTTGAACTTTCGATATTACGTATCTTTGGCAATTAAGCTCGAAATTAAAATTTTAATACGGTTCACGTGAAAAATTAATTGAAAATAGATAACGCTTCGTTTATTCGCGAAATGTTGTTGGAAGGCAAAACAATTTAAAAACTGGTGGCCTGGTTTCTCCGGAACACGAGCCCGCATATATGAATCTCTCATTCATTTCTGTATATTTTGCGGTGTCCGTGCGCGTTTATTACACGCTTCGATTCGCCTCTCTATATTTTTCTTACGCATCGCGCTTATCCGTCCTCCATGCGACCCAGCGCCATTCCCGCTTCTTTTCTACCACGTCCTCTTTTTAACCGCTGAAGTTCCCCGTCTTCGCCCCTCTGCCCCACTAGATACGTCTACTTCGACGTCCTTACGTCTCCAGCCTTATCTCTCCGCAGCCACCGGCAATTCCGCGCGTCTCTCCTCTCCACCTATCATCGCTCCATCTTTGCTCCTTTGCGATTCCGTCACGTCCCTCCACCGCTCCTTTATAACGACGCTTTTATCTCTCCTTATCCTCATCGATGCCACATCGTGCGCCGGCATCGTGTTTGTCCCCGCCGGCTTCAACTTCCCGTCTTTTTCTACTCCGCAGTCCGCATTATCCATCCGGATGCATCGCGTCCGCCCGTCTCTATGCCTCGAACCGACGCGACGTCGCTCTTCTCACCGTTCCGCTGCATTCACCTCTTTTCGCTACTCTCGGAGCTCGTTACATCACGTCGCTTTCCGCCTTCGTCTCTTTTTCCGAGCGTCCCGATGTTAGTTCGTCTCTTTGACTGCGTCTCTCTGGCTTTCCTGTATATCTACAACCGTGTATCTTCGCGACACGGGCTGTTTCTGACTGGTCCCTCTCCACTTCGCTAGTCACGTTCATGCTGGTCTCTTTACACCCTTTTCTACTGCTCAAACTGATATTTCGTTCGTCCCTTATTGTCTCCCTTGCTGCTCATCGACATTGTTGTCATTCTATGTTAAGCTTTCAGAATTTTCCTCCGTCTAGGTTTACTTTGCGTCTTGGATATACATTTTCATCCAAACGTGTCCGATTTCATCTATCATTCAGGGCCGACTCCGTCCGTCTTTTTATACTTCGCTGTTTTTGATAGATCATGAATTATTCAAAGATGATGCGCATTTATCTTTCGAACATGATAGTATTTCAACGGATAGATATTTCAACGGAATTAATTTCTCGAACATGTATTATATAAATGCAATTTACACCAGCAGAACATAAAATGGCGTCAAAATGACTTTAAAGTGATTATTAAAAGACACTTCGATCGATCATGATTTATTTTCACGTCAAAGTAACATTATTGTGACCTGTCACTCCGCTGCGTTTGAAAAACAGTATAAATTTTTAACTTATATTAGTGTATCCTGTTAGATATTAAAGAAGCAACGATAATCCGATCCTTCAAGTTAACATTTATTGTTATTTTTAAATTTTATGTGTATAAAAATGTAAATCTATTTTTTTCTCTCTCTGTCTCTTTATCTATAGTTAGTTTTGAAATAAACAACTATTATATTAATTATGTATTTAGTAAAAAAACTAAATTAGAATCCAATTTAATATACTAATACATTCATTTAATTTTTTTATAAATAATAAATTATTTAAGTAATAAAATAAATTTATTTATTAAATTAATTTAATCTAATATAAATTAAATTAATTTTCTTAAATTAAGTTGTTTAATTCCATTGTTTTTAATTAAATGATCAACATTTGAGAATTGAATAAAAACAGATAACGTAAATCATGAAAAATAATTCAAACTTTATAATTTGATATTATGAATTAATAGTGTAATATGAACGTTAAAGAACAATTAGGGGGCACATATATATAGATGTGAAAAAAGTACTAAATAAAATGGACAAATCTGTTTAATTGCATAGCGAAGTACAGCAAAAACAACTAAATTCTATTTGGTTTATCAAGAGAGAGATTAGAAAAAAAAAATAAATACCGCGTCGCACTTTGGACCGTAACGTCGCGTGTGCCGCATGAGATTCCGAATACAAGTGACCTATAAAAAAATAGCACTTCGCGTTAAGTGCTTTCTTGCATGAATGTAACTCCCACAATGTGTGTGCTGCGAAAAGTTTGTCGAATCGTAAATGTAAATGGCGGTGGAAAAGTTTCTGGGGGACGGTACGGAAGAAAAGCAGAATAGAGAATTAAAGAAAGACTTTAAGTCGCGTTTTGCTTTTTGATAAATTAAGGAACAATAGTTCTTTCCATTTTTCAAACATAATAGAATTGACAGAAAACATATAAATAAATTAATTATTATATAACAATTAAAATTTCTTCAATCACATAATGAAATGTAGATTTATTATATTTTTCTTGATAATTTAATTAACATTTTAACTATCGAATTGTTTTAAAATTTATCTATGTTTGATTAAAAATAATTTACTAAAGATTTAATTTAATATATTTAAGAGACAATATTAAATTAAATTAGGACTTTAAGAAACAATTGATTATAAAAATCGAAATAATATAGATTTATTAAGTTTAATACTAAAGCTTTGACAATCAAAAAGTGCTAATGTAAATTACTTATAAATAAAAAATGGCTTGGATTTTCTTTTCTTGTCTTCTTAATTGTGTATCTTGGATAGCTTTGTTGTAAATGTGAGATTCCATAAATATGAGGTTCGTGCTTAGATAATCGATATTGTTTCTGTTACTACTGTTGAAGCTTCTGGATATTTTCTTTGAAGAAACTACGAGGTTTATAGATTATCTCCGTGTCTTAATACGTTAAACGCCAATGTTTCGTGATCATTGCAGTTTACTTTATCAGAACGAAAAGCAATCTGATACTTCTCTTGCCTTGATGAAGTAAATTACAATGTTCACGAAATAGCATTTAACGATCAAGACGCGGTGTAAAACTTCATAGCTTCTTATTTTTGTTACGTTACTCAATATATCAGCACGTTCAATGCCGGGCCAATTTTAAGTAACTTGATCACCACGCGCTGCAGTGGACTGGTATTAGACCTTCTTCTTTACAATAACTTTTGCAATTTTTGAAACTGTTTTTATACCATTATGAAATATATGTTATATTTAATAAATATAATAAAAGCAAATAAAATGCGTAAGACACCAATGACCCATGGCATTTTTGTTTGTTACATAATATATATTTTATAATTAAAAAAAAAAAAATTACAGAATATTTAATTATATAAATTTAATTATTTAATTATATTATAAAGAACAACTAATGTACCAATGTTGCATCATTATAATTATGTATCTACGTGTGATAAAAAATTATTTTATAACCACGTTTCTTTTTTTAGTCAAAATATTAAATATCCAGTCTGAACGAAAGGTTCAGGCGTGACCAAGGATCACCGGTGACCACTCGCGTAGCACGGAATGTGTTAATACTATTAAAATTTAATATATACCTCGCAAAAATTATGTATGAAAAAGGAATAGCAATTTCTCATTTGTCCGACACGAACATGGCGCAGAATTTCTCTGGCGGGTATTTCCCGCGCACAGAGACAGTTAAAATCGCATACGCGGTGGGACGTAATCACGATGAATTTTTCACCGTGGCTCAAATTTTTTTTTTCGGGGCACGAAGTATTCCGACGTATAATATTAACCGGTGACCTAGATTTCCAGCAAATTGTACAAGCACTTCGGGGTTTCTATGGCCATGCGTGTAATCCAACCCTAATCGGGAGCGACAAACTACGGGAGTAAATAATATTGTTTGCAAATCGACATTCGAAGCCCCGGGCGACGACGTCACTCGAACTTATAATTCGATCGACAGACCACATTTGTGATACTGCAAACAAGCTTGTTTGCCTCTTTCCACGCGCCGGGTGGCGGAATTGATTGCTCACGAAGCGAGCGACGGTCGAAATCTTTTTTCTTGATTTAATCAAATACACTTTATAAGATGAAAAATTGTGTTTTCGCGTATATGCAAATTATTCTCCTCGACGAATTGATTACATCAATGCCAGTGCGCGATAATACCAACTAATTTTTTATGCTGCTATAAAATCGCGTTCATCATTTTAAAAAATTCTATATCTCTATCTAAATTTAAAATTATATATATATATATATGTATATATCGATAATCTTCTTTATAATCAGTAAATTAAACCTGTTTTTGCTGGTTAAGAGAAATATCAGAGCGATTTTCTGCTATTCTTCATAACAAAATTAATATGCATATAACATACACTGAACAAATACTAAATTTTATGAAATAATTCTTTGAGTAGTTCTAAGTAAATTTAAATATAAACATGTATTTATTTACTTTACCTTAATAAAAAATAATAGATTATTTAGTACTGTTAAAAAAAATATGTATAGCGATTCAGTAATTTTTTTTCTCAGTGTGTGTATAAAATTTAATTATTCTTGTGTAAAATATAGCAAATTGATCATTACAAAGATAACACAGAAATTCTTTACCTTGAAATGCCATCATCTTCCCCGCTTTCCTTTCTCGTCACATCTCCGACACTTCCTGTTTTCTCCGTCAGACCTTCGTGCAGGATCATCAGTTCCGGTCTGTCTGGCTGTGCGAGACTACCAATTTTGAAGGGAAATTGTTCCTGCTTCTGATCCTTGGCTAATCTCTTCGAACCCTCGCTTCCGGTTCTGCTGAGTCGCCTCTCCTTAATGTCTCTAGCATCCTCGCCCGTCTGCTCGATCCCTTCGCCGTTATCGGAGACTTTCGACAGATCCCAAAGAATCTCCGGCCTCAGATTTCTCACAGAAACCTTGCGATCCTCGTCAGAGCTGGGTCTACCTTCCGCCAAAGTGCTCTCCGACGTCGATTTCGCTAAGGCGGGTAGCTGCAACGACAAGGCGTCGACGACTTCCGGTGATGGCGCCCGCGTTAGTTTCGCTTTAACTGTCTCTGGAACGAGATATACTTCTGGTGGCGAATGGACCTCGATTCTGGTGATCGCCTCCTCAAAGCGAAGCGCAGACGCCTCTTCCGCCGTGATAATCCTGGCAGTCACCAACTGGACCTCCGGCAGCAAGTCGATTATCTGGTTCGCGACAGTTACACATCGAAATTAGAGATTTTACTATTTTCGATTAGCTTAATCGACCGATTATTCCATTGCAACTGACCAATTATATTTGTTGTTAATCCTCTAGGGGCGAATATTGTAAATTTGCAGCGTTTACTTTAAAATTAAATTCGAGATAAAATCGGGATAAATTCGGGATCTATGCAAATTGGTTATACTTTAGATACGCTTACCGTTTAAAACTTTTAAAGTGTATTGTCACTCTGAAGATTGAAATCTCACTCTTACATATAAAAAAGCGATTATCTCATAATCACTTGAAAATTGAGCCATTCTTTTTCAAGACTGGCACAATTTTCAGTGAGATTTCATTTCAAAGAATTTAGAGAGTATAGTTATATTTACAATTAAAGAGAAAGAGAGAGAAAAATATTGAAGATGGAAATGTATGTAACATTGAACATTGAAATATATTATAGTATAATACTTCTACCCAGTAGAAAAGCTATACAACGAAATACTATATATATTGATAATGTAAATCTTTATATAAATTCTTTACTTACAAGTCATTTTCTAGCAAACACATTAAAAAAATTATTTTTTTAATAACAAGAAGGTGCCGTCTTTAGAGGGTTAAGCAGAATTAACCAATCATGATGGTTGACTCTTAATCGACTGATCAATCGGAGATAATAAAACTGGCCTTAATACGTCGAAAACCAAATATGTGGAATTTTTTTTAAAAGTGCAGTAAACTCACCTGATCGCTCGTATCGTCAAAGAAGATCTCCTGTACGTCCTCTTGAATTCTGACACCCTTTTTCTCCTCCAACAATGATTCTCTTGAGGACTCTCTGGAGAAGGAGTCTCTGCTTTTTCTCAACGAGCTCGGTCGTTTTGTGGGTTGCTGAGTCGGTTCGGGTTGCCGAATCTCTGAAACAGCTGCTCGATCCAGAGTTGGCCGTTGTTTTTTGTCCTCCGAAAGTCTCTTGACGTCCTTTACGAGTTTCGAGTCTCTCAGAGAATCTTTCGTTTCTTCCACCATTTCAGATACGCTTTTCAGGCTTTCTTTCCTCTTTGTAGACACCACGGACGTTTCGATGGTCGTTGAGAGACTCAGAGCCTCCCCTTCTTTGCTAATAGCTGATGGACGTTTGACTCGTTGCTCGTCTACGACTTCGGGAACGGAGAACTCTGCAGCTTCGAGGCCGACGCTTACATCGGAATAAGACGGAATGCTATGCCTCGTCAGGAATTCCGTCACCCTCTCGATGCATTCCTGCTCCTTCAAGCTCTTCCTCTCCTCCCTCGAACGTCGATAAGTCTCGTCGTCTTTCTTCGCGAAATCCTCGCCTTCGTGTTTCCGTCTCGACGAATCTTCCTCCATCTTCCGTTCAGTCTTCACTGATTTTTTCGATCGCTTCTTACCATTTCCCTTCTCCGTGAAGACCTTCTTTTTGGCGCCCTTTTCCGATGATGTGTCTGACTTCTCCAACGTCTCCCTCGACGTGGACGTTCGACCTTCGGATTCCGCGCTGCTGTGACGTTTCAGGCTCTTCCTGCGTTCTCGATCCATTTCTTGCACCGATCTCATCGTCATGGTGACCCTGGATGTATCCTCCGCACTAGAAGACGGCTCTTCCTGAACGGGTGGTACGCGATCCAGCTCCAAGGACGATTGCTTCTTTAACTTCACCTTCGGCGCCACTTTTTCCATCCTCGTCGGTACGTCCTTGGTGTGCCTAGGTATCCTCGTCGTTTCGACGATTATCGTACCACCATACGACACGATGCTCGTCTCCTCGCGCATTGTCTTAGACGTAGTAGGGTAGAATTCGTGAATGATCTCGACGTCGTTGTCGACATCGATGTATCTGGTCGGAGATCGTTTGTCGCGATAGAGTTTGGCAGGTCGTCGTGCTGGACTGCAGATAGGCGTCACCGGAGAAGCGTCCTTCCAGTGATCCTCCTCCTCGTCTTCGTCGATCTCTGGTTTGTTTGTCGAGATTTCGGTCAGTCCTACGTATGGCAGAAAATGTTCGTGAATGCATGATTGCGTCAATACATTGTGTACGGAAAAATATTACTAAACTATCTAAAAATTCAGTTAATACAGATTTAGAAATATTTTTTATTGAGCCATAAAAATGTTTGTGTAGGAAATTCAAGCAATGCTGCACAAAATTTTGATGTTCTATAATAACAATCAATTTGAGCGTTCTATATAACTATGTATTCCGATGGTTCAACAGAATTTATTTTCAGATCTGTATCTAGCTATAAATATTTTTAGATACTTTACATATCCGTTCTTTCTGTGATAGATGTGTAGATTTTTAATAAATGCTCCATTTTTATCGAGGTACCTAAGATAATTTAAAAGAACGCGGAGATCGAATCGCTCGATTAAACGTTTTTAGCCCAATAAATTTTCCAATTTCTATTATCGACAAATCACACGAATAAAAATCGTATTGAGCAAATTTATTTTTACTATTTAAGCAGTTTGCATAGAAGGTATCGCATGTTATCCCGCGTTGTGTTAAAGCGCAGTGCGCTTTTGTACGTTATCTATAAAGGAAATCTGGTCTAATCGCGAGATCAAAATTGATGGTTTTCGTATATCAGACTTGAATGGTAATGGCAAATTGCCACGTTACGAGATATATACATATCTTCGTGCATAGCGTAAAAGGAGATTCCGCTCCTGTCAGAGGAAGAAAGGGGAGGTTCGTATAGAAATCACGATAGCATGTTTCGCGAAACAAGGCGCGACATATCCCCGTTTCGGAACAATAGGAATGTATGAAACCGGCTGGAATATACTCGGAATGTACTCGTTATTGAATGGAGCGTGATTTATACGACTCGCTTTTGGAACGCGACGCAAGCGCGATCAATAAAAATTATACGAGCGAAGATATAAAGTAGTAATCGTTTTATGACACTAGATTAATATTCTTTGAATTAAATTATAACGTAAAATAAAGTTAGATTTGACCCCGTGGTAGTATCCGCGATAATAAAAATAAACGAGGCCAATGAACGAACGAGATGGGGATATTAAATATATACATAATATTAATTTAAATTACAGAAGTTTCAACATGTAATAAATAAAACCGAACGTTTTGAGCTTCACAAAGCTGTTCAGCGGTACAATATTAAAAAATATAAATAAAGATTAAGAATATGGATACGCTAAAAATATTTAATAAACTAATATGATAGAAAAAAAACGGACACATTTGCCTCCACTCATGTATGAATCAAGATAAAAAGGTCACACATCTAAATCAAATAGATTATATATAGTGATAATAAAGTAAAAAATAAATTATGATACTTATAATATGCAATAAAACTTATTATACTTGTATAATAACCTTGTAATAAAACCGACTTTTATTAGAATTTTCGATTCTTAATTTTGTGATAAATTGTTAATATTCTCAAATATTAATATAATAAAAGTAAACATTTTTTAATATTTTTTGTATTAAATTGATATTTAATATGTCTCGACGTAACGCAATTTATATGTTAAATAATCAAATAACATAAAAACAATATAGTTTTAAACATAATTTCTACGAGATAAATGAAAAAAAAATGTGTATATGAGAGTGCATGTTTTAATTTAACATATTATAAATTAATTTTATAGAAGAAATATATTTCCATAATTTGCTTTTAAATTATCAAAATGTCATTTGTGTTACAATTTTTACATAATGTTCATGTTACTTTCTAACATCTGCATAATGTAAATATACATTATGTACCTTGTATCAATTTAATCCAAATTTTCTAATTGTGTAAGATATTTTAGGATGCTCTTAATTAATCTTCCAAAACCTCCTCCTATCATTAAATAAATAACGAAAAATAAATGTATTACAATTAGACGCACCAATTTCATTGCAGTCGATTTGAATTTTCTACTCACGTGTTTTACACAAAGTTACAACATTTATAAAGTGAAAAAAATATACCTGATCTCGACGAAAGCAAGTCTTCAAGTTCAGCTGCGTGATCTGTCGTCTCACTCTCGTTGGGAAAACTTTTGCTCCGTTTGATCTTCGGTGTTGCCATCTGCTATAGAATCGAGCAGCATAAAAAGTGAGCAAAAGAAAGAGAAGTTAGACCATTAGTACAAACGTCGACAATTACTGTTCTAAAATTACGCATTTACGAGAAACTGGCTTACGTAAGAGAAAAAAGAAGCTAGAATTTCAATTTTATAACAAATTATAATTGATATTATTGTACGAGTGAATTTTATTTGCAGTTCCTAGCGTTTATTAATTAACGTAATTTACACGATATTACTTGAGGAGACAGCATAATCTTTCGATATCTCTATGCAGATGTTAAGCTATATACAACACTGATAGGAGACTTCAATTGACGCGAATGGTATCGAAATAGCATAATTTCATTTATATGCATTTGAAATGCATTAATATGTTAATCAAATCGTACGTGCATGTATTTTCGCGAATTTTGATCTATACGGAGATAATTCTGTAGTGAGCATGCCACGTATTCAAATTTAAATCACGTTAGAGGGTGAATACTTTGGAAACATGCTGCGTGCAAACGTAAATACAGATCGTCACGACGGGAATCACAATCACATGAATTCCACGTATATTGCGCCAATTGCATAAATCTCGAGAGACTTTCTAGAGGAAAAATAAGACGAATCGTCGTGCTGTATACGCATACGTTGCTTAACAATAAGTTTGCTTCGTAATCTCTTTGCTGCCTCGATAATCCAGTTAAGGTAATAGTTCCATACAAATAGGATTGTCTAGAAATCCGTGGACATTGACGATACAATATATCGTCGTAAAGCTGAAAAATAATTTTTGCTTTAAAAAATAGGCTACTTATTAAATTCAATAATATATTTACTGAATTCAATAATATATACCTAGTTGATATCGAAATATGAACTTAAATATATATTCTGCAATATATATTCTGAAGTTCTGCTGCATAAGCATTCGTAATTATGCGGCAATGCATTAGAGAAAGATCTAACTATAAAGTGACTAAATATGATTTGCCAAAGGCGTGTATTTATTTGCGCTATTAATTAACCGAATTACATTCAGCATGGCCAAATGCAATAAAATAATTGAGCAAATAATAATTTTACGTTATGAAATGTTCAGTGAATAATTTTTTTCTCAGCCAAATATACGGAACGAAATTTACAAAACTTGTTTACGCAAATGTACGATGATACATGATAAATAATATAATAGCAATGTAATATGTGTGTTCAACGAATATTTTAAAATTTCTCGTAAAACTCTACGCTCATAAAATTTAATATAAGATATAAAATGCACGTAATTAATAAATTTAAAATTATTGTAAGTTTTATAAAAATTTTAGTGTTATATATACATATATTGTATATGTACATAAAAAACTAAAATTAATACATTATATATATCTTATTTCAAATATTTTGTCATAGATTGCAAAATATAGCAAAAAATTAAATATTTAAGAATCTAAGATGTATATATTGTACTTCATTATATTGTTTGTCGATAGGAAAGCAAATTTTAGCTTTTCAACACGAATTTAATCATTACATAACACCACCGTACTATTCGTCGATCGATTTATTTCTTTCGAGCTATTCGAGTAATTCGATCGCCGTATCAAATGGCGATTAATCCGCTCGAATGGCAAAGGAATTAGTCGGCACTCTCCGAGCGTGCGAACAAAGCGATGAAAACGCGGATAAGAGTGGTTATGCAAAGGCGTTTAAATCGAGAGATGGAATTTGCTGCGCTCGCCTGAAAATTGATTAATTTCTTGAAGCTGCTAAACAAGTTTTTGTAATATTTGTCATTTATTAATACATAAGGAACATTTAAATAATAAATAATGTTTTCTATTATATGTGTATACAAGACGAGCAACCTACTGGAAAGAAATATGGAGACTTACCTATATAGAACTTGATATATTTTATCACGAGATTCTTATCCAACTCATGCAATTTGCGATAAGTCGCTAATTATGAGGGATTCGTGTTGGATACCAGTTGCATTACGGAACATCCATATTGTTTCAATAGTCTATTCTTTATGGAAATAATAACACTCGTACACGGAATGAATGATTTTGCTGAAATGTATCTAAAAAAATTAGATAGATACAGATCTGAAAATAATTTTGTTGGATTATTAAAATGTTAATGTAAGAAAATCAAATATATACCGAGAAATGCTACGAAAAGCCTTGACATTCAAACAATCAGTGTTTGAGCGTCTTGATTATTTTGACAATCTGACAAAATTATTTCCAGTTTTATATCTAGCTAAATTTTTAGATATTTCTGCCAAACTGTTCGTTTAATGTGACATATAATAAAACTGTAAAACACCAATAAATAAATTTGCATAAATCAATTCGAAACCATCAATTTAAAGCAATAAAATTATTTATCAGTAAGCAGACTTATTCTAATAATAAACTCAGTTTGGATTATACGTTGCAGAAAAAATCGAATTAATTAAAGATTTCGTGATTGATATCATAGCGGTAATATCAAAAAAACAAAATCTTTCGAGGGGAAAAAGGCGAGAATATTTGATTATTGAGTTTCATATATCAACATCATTTCATATCATATGTGTGCGTTCAGTATATTTCTATATTTTTGATAAAATGTAACAAAGTTAGTGATACAATTTCACATAACGATCGTAAATTTTAGATACATTAGAAGAATGACAAGGAGCGGAGGAAGAAACTACAAAATCGTTGTTTGAAATCATGCTCGATTTTAGTAGGTTGTATAAGAATTATTACTTACATAACAGGTAAATACGTCAACGACGAAAATCGAAGGTATACGTCGATAAAATGATCGACGGTATTAATTCATTATTAAGCATATTAATTATTAAGCTCATATTTGCGGAAGAGAGAAGTCCCAAATAAATAAAAAAAGGATGGGACATAAAGCTTTGTTCCTTTTTTTTCTCGATGTTTTCTTTTCCTTCGATTTCGTGTTTTTTAATTAGCGTGAAATTATATTACATTCCTTGTTCTTTTCGATTAATTGTTATATTAAAATGGAGATAAACGAGGACATAGTGCTTGTTCATGATACTTTTATTTTCTATTTCTGTTTTGGTTTTTTGGTCGATAACTGCAGTAAAGGTATATAACTGGTACGGGAAACAGATCCGCCTCGGCGCTTACGCCTCGCTCTGAAAAACGAAAAAGATACGTCATCATTAGAAAGATACATTGTGTGTGTGTGTGTGTGTGTGTGTGTGTGTGTGTGTGTATGTGTGTGCGTGCGTGTGTGTGTGTATGTGTGGTGTGAATAATTACGTGTGACTTATGGTTCTTTCGACAATAAATTTTTACCACGCCGCATTTTCGCTAAACTCTACGAAGCGTGCCAACGCGACTATAGCTTGTGTGTTTTAGTTTTATCTTTTTTATAATTTCTGTACGTAAAATGAAACAAATGCTTGCCTTTAGAAAAATAGGGAAAAAAGTGCATTCAAAGCGTTTCTAAAGAAAACAAGGCAATGTTACGTGCTTAATACATCACAGGTAACGTATAATAGAAAGAGAGGAAATTGATATTCGTATTTTATTAAAAATATAATCGTGTAATTAAGTATTTCATATACATTTACATATTTTTAAAAATATTTTTTATATAGAACGTTTTAAATCTTTATTAAAAAATGCTTGTAAAATATTATAAATAAAACAATTGTATAAACATTACATGGGGAGGAAGAAGATTTTCCGGTGCATTCACTGTACCAAATAAAAATTATATTTTCATATATTTTTGCGTCATATATTTAGATGCAAAATATGAGTATTATTATAAAAAGTCAAATATATGGTGTTCATCAATAACATCATGATAATTATACTTTTATTAAAAAAAAAAAAAGTTCCACAAAACACATTTAACATCAACAGGCGTGGAGCAATTTTATCTTTTACGAAATAACGCGAAGTTCATGTTTCAGAAAGAAAATTCGCGCGCAATAAATCTCGAAACTAAGTCGGGTCTGGTTTTCTCAGCGAACGAGTCCAGCTGTTCGTAAAATATCTGGCGAAATTTTTCTCGTGATAATAAGAATAACAGCGCGAAAAAGATACTCAGGCGAGGAAGAAGGCCGTTATGATAAATGCACCTGGCGCAGGTGCCCCGATAAGAACAAATGACTTACGTAATAACTGTATCTGCCGTATGCTTCGAAGAACGTGCTAAGAATCGTGTCTTCGCGTAGGTAATCGTCAATTTTGACGAAGAAGCGCGAAAAGTTCTGCAAACATTTCTTCTTCCAGTTTCTTTAAGAACGGAGGGAGAGCAAATACATCAACGAATTTTGGAAAGTACATAACTTTCGCGGGATCTCGATATATTTTATTCCTTGAGATTTATTAATGTATATAAGAGAGTTATTTTGAACTTTTATAAAAGTGTCACAAGTTCTTTTATATACACGTCATTGATGCAAATGATGATTTATTATAATTTCTCCTTTAAATTCCGATTGAATTAAATCCATCTTCTATAATTACTGTAAAAGAATTACTTTAAAGATAATCCATCGTCTAATTACTATTATCTTACGTCGTCTTTATTCAAATTTATTGTTAACTTTTTACGCGTTGTTGAGTCATAAGAAAATGAGTTTCCGACGAGATACTTTCCGCACTTTACTCACAGCAAACTTACGTCACATTTCTTGCGAACAGAAATACATGATTTTTCTGTACGCGCGATGGTTAATTTAGCAGAAAGCTTTTGCGGAATGCTTTTACAAGTCGTCTGTCTAAACTATGACTGCGCAACATTTATTTCAGCCTCGCGCGATTCTCCTGTCAGAATCAATTACATTTAAATATTTAATCTGCGTGAAGCAAAGTGTTGCGAGCATGCTGCAACACGCGACAGATAGATCTATGAGGAGGCGTTTGTTTGCTTGATTTTTCCATTAATGTGCGGATTGTCATTCTAGCAAGCATTTGCAAGAATAGCGACTGTGATTATCCGAGGTAAATCTGAATGGTGGAATACC